TGAGCTAGTTATCTATCTCACTCTATTCTTATTAATGTATCTCAGAGTTCTTTTATCTCACTGGATTTTTAATTTTTTTGTTGATAAAATTTATTCGGCTTTCCTGTTTTTACCTTTTTTCCTTTCTGTTTTCTTTTTTTTCTATATATCTATCATCTTCTATCTAATCTCTATCTATCTATCTATGTTTTCTTTTTTCTGACTTCCCTTCTGTAAATGCTATCAATCTTTATTTAGTAAATGTTAAGTATATCAGGACAGCAAATGTTCCCTCAGACTTTCTTGAATCAGCTCTACGTCACTTTTGACAGTACAATTGTTTAATTGCATCCCTGTTTTGTTTTGCTTTTTTTATTTCATAAACTCAATAATTAATAACAATCGGTCCTGTAGGACTTCGTAATATAAGCTGTTTCTTATTAATTTCATTGTTTAAGAAAATAAAAATAGATAAACAGGAATATTAACTCAAATACGTGTAGCCACTAAAATTAACACTTATCTATAATAAGAAAATAATATATTATTATTATATATCTATATGTATGTAAAACTTCAAATTTCCACGGTCAAGAAGGGATCCTTTTGGATTATTTTAGGTTTGACAATTTACTAATATTCTGAAATATTCCTTGGACTGACAAATATTCAGTGTTTTAATTTTACCCATTTAAATATTATTATGAATTTGATCTTTAGTTTTTATAATTATTTAAAATGTTTTCCTTTGTGTGGTTTTTTGTTTGTGATTTTCTTTCTCTGGATTCCGCTTCTGATTTCAGTGATTCTCTCACTTTTTTCTTGGCATCCGACAGTTTTTATTTTCTATTTCACGATCTTCGCTCAATTTCTTATAACTCAACTTTACATATTTCACTAAACTGCTTCTATCTTCCCCAAAATTAATTTAAAATCAGTGTTGTCAGGCTTTCTCCATAAGGACTTGGAATATTTACAATATTTACAATTTCTATGACGTTGTCCTCTTTTTATATATCTATGTTTTGAAAACTTTGTATACATGTATATCTATCACGAATACATATATATATATATATATATATATATATATATATATATATATATATATATATATATATATATATATATATATATATATATTTTCCAGATTAGCTGAGTCGACCATACGTCTTATGTAAAATATTTTTATATGTCTATCTTTATCTGAAGTTTCTCAGCATTCTGTGCCATATTTTGTATTATAATTTATATAGAATTCACCAGTTCTTTATTGTTTTCATGACTATTTTGGATACCTTAATACCTCACTTAGTAGTAATGTTCTTAAAATTGCCTCGTCAGATTGGATCCTATATCATACATGTCATACATGGCGCCAAGCACGTTTAGTAATACCTAAACTGACAGCTGTATACAACCGCTTTTTAAGATCAATAGGCCGAAATGGATTTGTGTGAATGAAGCCTGCAGGTCTTGTCAAAATCCATATTTCTTCGAACCATGTGGACTGGCGATACACAATCACAAACAAAGAACTGTATGTGATAACAGAAACCACATCACTCGAGGACATCCAACAGCAGCAACATCTAAAAATAGCTATTACCAGTTACTCGAAGAGAAAATAATGTTATAATTAGCATTTTGCCGTTTCAGATTTCATCAAAAATATTAGGAAGGAATCTTCCGTCAACAATTAAAAGAAAGATAATAATTACCTTACATGAAAAATCTATTTTTCGGAAACATTCCTTTAAAACATTTTTTTTAAAAATTGCAGTCGATACCAAAATACTGGTTTTTTTTTCAAAACCAGAATAATGTTTTCTCATAAGGAAAAGCATAATAAAACGTTTACTATTATTTTGTAAAATAATATTTATTTTTCCAAGAATTTTCCACCACAAATTCCGTCTAGTCTGTTTTTATATTACATTCTTAAATTATAAAATATATTTATATATATATATATTTATATATATATATATATATATATATATATATATATATATATATATATATATATATATATATATATATATATATATGCTTCAGGAAGTTTTCTTTCTAAAAAAAGAAAAAGACACACCCCACAGAAGTTATCATTTTTCATGGAGCATGTCCTTACATTGAATACTTTCAACTTCAATGGAGCACACTACCTTCAAATAAGAGGTTGTGACATGGGATTTTTTTGCAGCTCCATCATATGCTAAATATTCATGGGAAAATTTAAGGAGACCCATATCTATCCAATCATTGGTAGCGACTGCGTATTCTATGCAAGATATATCGATGATATATTCTTTTTGTATACAATATTAGTGATGACAAACTTTACCCAATTCCTTTATGACCCTAAACACAGTGCACGACTCAATTAAGTTTGACTATGAAAAATCCACAACATCAGTAACATTTTTAGACAACATTTTACATAGATGAAAACAGGAAACTACAAACGACACTACACACTAAAATCACCGACACACCCAACTATCTACACTTTAAGTCTTCCCCACCTAAACACCTCAAAGAAGAACCTTCCATATTCACAAAAACTTAGACTCAGAAGGATATGTTCCAACAATGAAGCATTAAATAAACACAAAGAAAATCTGGAGCATCAATTCACAGCACGTCGCTATAAAAAACAAATAATCAGGGGACAAACAAATAGAGCAATTTTCACACCTAGAGAAGACACCCTAATGTACAAGATTAAAAATAAATCTAGCCGCATTCCTCTAGTAACCACTTTCAACCCCACTCTGCCTCCACTATCCCAAATAATCAAACGTCGCTAGGAAATACTACATCTCAAACCAGACCTAAAAATATATTTAAGGAACCCGGCCTTCTAGCATATCGTAGACCTAAGACCCTAAAAAGAAATCATAGGTAGTAACCACATTTCAGGGGACAAAGTAATCCGTAATAAACTAAGAACAAAAAACAACAGGATTTTCCCAACCATGTAACAACAAAAAATAAGTTTATGCTGCAACCATATTAAAACACAATTGATTCATTCACAAGCTCATCACTAAATCTACGTTCAAAATCTACCCTCGATTCTAACTGTAGAAGTCATAACATAATTTACCTCCTAGAATGCACACTATGCTGCCAGAAACAATATGTAGGAAAATCTGAATGGCCCTTTTCACTACAGAATTAATAATTATCGCAATCGAATTAAGTCGACTCCCCATGAAAAATTATTACCTGCAGAACAACATTTCCGCCTGGAAAAACACGATTTCAAAAACCCATGCCAAATTCACTATAATTGACATAATAGAAAAGTTCAGAGCAGATAACATTAGAAAGATTTTAGAGTTCCATGAAAATAAGGGGATACAACGTCTAAAAACGCACTATCCAACCGGGCTAACCCATAAATTTAACAATATAGATAGTATTAATATATAACTTTACAAATCAAAACCTACCCACATTTCTCACCCACACAAGACAGACATGCTTACGGAGGTATTGAGGCCTCACACTTATAGACACACCCACACGAATATATGCACTTACACACATCATACTCACTCACTCCCTAATGAGCCAAATGATAACACACACCCACAACAATACACACGCTTACACATATGATACTCACTCACTCCCTAAGAACCAAATAACACACACACAAACACTTAACAGAGACACACCGCCTCTCCAGGACCAATAAAACTGTCAAACTGACCAAGGGAATTCAGAGAAGCATAGATCCATCCAGCTCTTATCTCAAATAACAACTTAAAAGAGACTGTTTGACCAACACAAGGAATGTTAAAAGATTCATGTTAAAAAGATAAAAAAAAAAAAAAACAAATGAAAACACAGACAAAAGTTCATTTTCTCCATCAAGACATTCATTTCTGTAGTTTACTGCTACCAGCAAGCAGAAATATTTCTTCTCCTGATGATGGCCATTTTATCGAAACTAGTCGAGGAATCTAAATGAAATAATAATAAAAAAAACGAAAGAATATTAATCTACAAACCAATTGTGTGTCTTAAGATTTTAATTTTTAATTTTTTTATTGTTCAATATATATATATATATATATATATATATATATATATATATATATTTATTATGTGTATGTATATTGTGTTATATATATGTATATAACGAAAAGGTCTAATAGTGTATGTCACGCATTCCTATATAAAGATTCATATATATATATATATTTACTGATATAATTATATATATATATATATATATATATATATGTCAATATATATATATATCCGTGTGTGTGTGTGTGTGTGTGTATTGTGTAAGAGGAGATTAACCCTAAACATGGGCTATAATTATGGATTGTGGGGAAACACTTATGAAGTAAGAACGCTAAACGTTTTACTATAAGCTTTAAAAGTTAACTATTCAATATGTCTAGGCGTATATACCAGCCAATCACAAATTTTTTTTTTGCCCAACAGTTTTTCCTGTTTTTTTTTTACCGTCGTTGTTTTAAATATGATAAATTGTGACAATTAAAAAAACATGAAGTTTATAAGACCAGATCGCAAATTTAATGTTGTTGATTCAAAAATCACTGCATGTTTTATACATTTCCAAAGTAAAATTTCCTTAAACGGCATATTTAATTCTAATTATGATTAGATGCACTATGATCAAGAAATATACATCTAGTTTCTGTTTTATAAATGTGTTGTTTCTCTCCTATATATATATATATATATATATATATATATATATATATATATATATATATATATATCTATGAAGGGTCAGTAACAAAATATTAGTTCCAACGGGAGAAAAGTGTGTATATTAAAAAGAAGAGAGAAACACAAACGTTTTTTTTATAGTAATGTGGATTTTTGGGGAAGATATATTATGTTTTATTTTCCAAAATTTTGCTACACAGGTTTCGGTTTCGTGAATATTATCTGGAAAATTGATATTTTCTCATATTCTTAAAAGGAATTATTTTTTCTTATGATTTTCGATGTTAAATATTATTGATATT